GTTGATATCCCCATGGAGGTCATGGGTTTAGTCATAGGAAAGAAACATTCTAATCTGAGGAGGATTGAAAAGGAAACTGGGACCAAGATTGAAGTAACAGCAGGGACATTTGTCTGCGCATGCGTGAGTCAAATAGAATACATGGCGCGCGGTATACCTGTGTCTGGCGGGAAACTTTGAAGATGTAGGTAAACATGGCGAAGAAGCCGGTGTCCTCTCTTTTGTATTCATTTGCGTGTGTTTTACTCTTCCCATGAATAATGAAAGAAGACGTTTTGTATGTAGATGAAACTGTGCAAAAATAGTCCAATTTAGGGTAAGTTTAAGAACTTGTTTCGGCATAAATACGAGCAGTGATTAATTTATTCTACTCGAAGGTGGAAAGTTTTACTAAAATTCGCACGTCTTTGCACGTTGATTTGAGATATCCACGCAATTTTCAAAGGCGAAATTACAATTCTATTCTTTTTAGAATTACATAAGATTTTAATTTAGGTAGGTTTCCGCTCTGGGCACGTCCCCGGTTTTTCATAAAATAGTTTTAAACCAGTGGGCCCGACATATTGAACTCTAGAAAAAAGAGAAAAACCTTTCGATTGAAGCTTATTCAGAATTCTTGGTCGAAAGTCTTACACTTTCTAATTGTTTTTATTTGCTCGAGAGATGGAGAAAATACATTGAAAGTTCTGGCTTTTGGAGATGTTTATTTCCGACATTATGACCAAAAACGTGCGATGTGTCAACATCAACATTTTTGCACATGCCCTTAAAACAGTGAGCTAGAAATGTATGCCACGCAATTTTCATTGACTTGATTTAAATAAAATCTGAVAGTTCTATAAACAAGGCTTCGTCCAGTTGTTTATTTGTTCTGGGCACGACCTACGACAAAAGTCCTGGTGTGTTATTCAAAATTGAAAGAMCCAAAAATTTATATTGAAGTGGATACTTCATGATAAAACTTCACAAACAACTTCCATATTGATGTCGGCCAAATTGCATCAGGTAATTAATACAACTTCTGACAATGTAAATCTTGGATTTCAACTCGCTTCGTTTATAAATTACCAAGAAATTTCTGTTTGCTTGTCATCTATACAAAAACATGCCATCTAACGTGAATCGCATAATCTCAGACCCATTAGATCTTGATCATTTCAGTCTTTATAAATTTTAACATGTTTATCCAGTTTCATGACTCCCTGTGACAAAATACACCAGGTATGGATGGCTTTTTTGATCTCACTGTTGAGAAATTTGACTTTTCATGATATGGTGTGGTTTCATAAAATGTTCAGCCGTTCGTGTCCTGTGTGGAAGATCGCCTCTCATTTCCAAATAAGACATTATTTTCGCTTAAAAACAAGCACGTTGTAAACAAAAGACCCCATTCTTTCGCTATTCTTGGTAGAATTTTCTCAAATATCTTTTGATCTTGAACAAAAAGTGAGGCATTTTCAAGAGTCTTTCATTCCCGCCTTTTWWTGAAAAMGTCAACTTTCATGCGTTGCCCGCGATATACGTGCGGTCAGCGCCAACAAATGTCCCTGCTGTTGATTGAAGTTGAAAATAATAAAATCTATGTCAGTGGTGGACCTCAAGATACTAAAAATGCAATAAAGGAATTGAAGAATTCTGCGGTAATTAGTTGGGTTAAGGGTTGGGTTATGGGAAATGTTGATGAAAGAGAAACATACAAAATGAAAAATCCTGGAGGATTTTCACAGGAGAATAAAATTTCCCCTAAATTCGTTTCCACGAAAAGTCTGTTTTTGTTTTTCCATTGTGTCTGACTGCTGATCTGTTGATGACACAAAGATTCTTGGGAAATTTTCCAGCAGGGACTTCTTCCCACTCACTTACCCAATAATTCTTAACTGCCTTTTCTCATTGACAAGTTAATTATCATTCAAAATTGCGACAAATGTGATGCACCTTAAATATGCTCTCGATGGCCTAGTAAAAAGAAAACAATGAAAATCGCATATTTTTGAGACTATATAGTTACAATAATTATCAAAAGTTTCAGCAATCCAAAGTACATTGGCACAGCCTCTAAAGGATCTATGAAAACAACTCAATATATTTTAGCTGAATTGTAAATAAAAGCTAAATATTTTGTACATGATTATTATATTTTATACTGTAATCTTTTTTAGTATTACGGAATCTATAAAAAGAGGATAAAGAGTCGGTTTTCCTGTGATACTTATAACTTTGTTGATGGAAGTGGCAGGAAATGTGAATTCAGACTTGTTCCAGTTGAATGCCCAAGGCAAGAATGGCACCAAGACAAAGAGTACTTCAAGATAGAAAGAGTCGATGAAGAAGATCAAATGGTAATTTCATTAAAAAATATTAAAAAAAAACAGTGTATAATGTACATTTGTTTTACTTATTTTGTAGCTTGATACCAGATCTAGCGATCGCTTGTGAACTTCGACACACTTTTAAGCAGTATTTAGT